GCACCACTTCGAAAGTTTGGTGAGGGGATAGAGCTAGGCAAAAGAGGACTAGAAGAGAGAACCTAGGTCGACGACCTCCGCACGTGGAGCCGTTCAGAAGTAGGCCACACCGTGACATCATGCAAATGGCAAAATGGCCGCCACTATCAAGAAACACATTTTATAGGAACGCTCTATGTACGCTGCGCGTCCGCTCTTCGGAATAGGCCTGTGTTGGCGCGCACGTTGCGTTGCGTTGCAGTGCGGTCGCGCATGCGTCGTCCACGTTTCAGTTTCTAGCTGTTCGTTTCGTAAAGCGAGTGTGGAGATTGGAGATCGTGGAGATTATACTCGCTGAAACCTAGTGCGCGCATGTTGATATCGCATTGCCGCGCACAATTCGATATATCTAATACTCATAAGTCTTATTCAATATGGCAGCTTATCGATTTACCGATCGATACCGATTGATGTCTCTACATTTTATGCAATAATTTTAATTTATAGCTATTTGGCTTTCGGTGCAAAGTTAATAGATAGAACAAAGCGAATGAACGAGTTCAAGTGACCTCGACCTAATTCCATTTAACTTAATCGATAATTAACATTCCAAGTGATATCCGTGCTATTTTGTTAACACGTGTAGAATTTATTCATTCTATTATTAATAATTTTATTTGACACATAGAAAAGATTAGAGATATAGTCAACATAAATAATGCCATTATAAATACTTTGAAGCAGTATTACGTTATATATAGTATTACGTTGATCTATATTTCTAATCTTTGGTTGGCCAATTCGTAAAATTTTTTCTACTGATTGGTCAATCAAATGCTTCAAAGCATTTGTAATGAGACTTTGACCACACCCTAGTTTAAATAACGAATTATATATTGTATTATTTATTGTACACACACACACACACACACATATATATATATATAATTATGTGTGTATATATTGTATATATTGTATATACATTATATAATAGTTGAAAATTTTGTTCGAAAATAAAATAAAATTTGGTACGGAACGCGATTGAATTAATTATCGATTAAAATAATCGGAATTTGATCGAATTTTTAATCCTTACTCATTCCAAACCATTTATTATTGTTTACCTAAAAAAATATCGAATCTAAATATAAATAATCAATCAAATTAATGGTAAGACATACATGAATAAATAAATGTTTTGTTTCTGTCTATTCTTAGATCTATTTATTCTTTTTTTTCTATCGTGTTTAAAATTGCATATCTCATGAATTGAAATATTTATTTCGCTTAATTGCGAAATGTATTTTGTTATTCATTCGATGTGCATTATATTGTTATTCGATCTTCATTTCCTTTTGCAAAGCATGTAAGGACAACTCGTATTGAATATTAGCGCATTGTAAGCAGATTGTATATACATAGTATTCAAAAATTGTTATATTTAAATATTTATTTAATTGATATGACATCATTAACTAAAAATAAGATATTGAACGTTTCGAAATCATAAATGATTAAAAACATAAATGATTAATAAATTTAGCATCTTTTTAGTGAATTAAACTTCCTATAAATGCTGCTTTGTAACCATGTAATACGTCTAATAGATATTATATGATACAAAATAGTTTGTGAGAGAATTTATAAAATTTATTAAATTACTGTTGAGAAGAAGTCAATTTCAAATCTCAACTAAAATAATCTTTTCACGTATTATATTATCATTGTTAGATCACCTTATATAAATGTATGTAGTGTATAGAAAATCGCGGACACTTTCTTTATTCGGCGCGCGTACATATGCGGGAATGCATTAACGCGGCATGTATGCGTACATATGCACCTGAATCCCATGGGACATTGTAAGACTTGCAGCCGAATTCGACATTACATATCTCAGCGAGAGTTTCAATTCATTATCAGTAATGTAGCATAACGTTTGCATCCTAATTATCATGACAATATGCATGCGTCTCTAAACCTATTCTTAAATTTATACGTAGCTGATTGCAATTTGTAGAAAATATATTTAATTGTGAATATACACGTGATATTTTCACTACTACACAGTTATCACGATTAAACTATAATATTTATTCTGTGAAAATACATTTTTGCGAATAGATTATTCATTTTAATCATTGAAATGTACAATGATTTGAATTGTGTATGAAACTCTTAATACAGACTTTTAGGTTATTCGTGTCCTGCGCATTTCTTTTCTTTGAAATACCAAGAGCACCTGGTCAAATACCGGTCTCTTTTCTATTCCTAAAAAAAAGTTTGACATTCAGAGAACAAGTTTTATGCGTTGTCGGCTTCAATTCGTACATATCCTTTAACTAGAATAACTCCGAAGTTCACCTCTGGGTCAAATGATCCATCGTGTGTATAGAGCGTACATTTTTGTAACTAAAAAAAGTTAAGTTTTATTTTTTTCTTTATTTTCAACTAATGTTCTCGTTTGCGAGAATATTTCGTGAATTATTAAAAAAAAAATTTAACCATAGAACAACATGTTAGTCCTTAATAAACACGATAGTTTTTGGCATTCTTATATCAAATATTGTCTGTAATATTATACAATATTATGTTGTTTATAATGTTTCAAAGAACATTTTTCTAATAAATTAAATTTTTTTAACACAATAACAATAATAAAATACATTGTTTAAAATGTAAATGCAATATATATTTTCAATTTATAGCGATTTATTTATGCATATTAAAAAAGTATTTTCAGATTACTAAATAACTAAATTTTTTAGACAGCCGACACTTGAACTATTTTTTCTTTTATAGTTTAGAATGTGAAATTTAAGATATTGAAACATATATTTTCTTCAAATATTTTTGTTTTAGAGTTTTACATTTTTGTACGAGAAAGTGCATTTTTCTCATTTTGTTAACTATATTTAGTTATAACAATTTATATACAATTTGTTATAAATATACAATTTTACAAATACTTTCTAAAGATGTCAAAATATACATAAAAATCATTTAATAATTTTCATATCCTTGTAAAAGTCCTAAAAATTAATCCAGAACACGAAACGTATGACCGAACGTATGTATAAGAGTGGTCAAAACTAAAATGTGTACTAAGGGTTAAATATTGTTTGATAAACTAAAACAATAAACATTGTTTTGGTTAACGAAAACATGAGTGGTAGGCAAGCCATAACAGGTAGCGGAAATATGTTACTGTCGAAAGCGACTGTAATTACGCATAACGATAGCGCTTACGTAATGCATATTTAAGTCGGTGTCGGTGGCGGTGTTGCAGGAATTCTCAAAGGAAATGGCGCTGTTTTCTGTTGTTGCATGATTTTTCACGAACGACATTGAGATTGCATAATATGCCTTTTGTACTCTTTTACATAAAGTATCAATGCAATAACTTTACAGTATACAATCATTAATAATTTTTCAAATTGAATAAGAAATAACTTTCGTTAGTTCTAATCAAAATATCGATTGTATCTTAAAATGTTATTTTTTATAAAAATTTAATTTTCAACGAATATTAAATTTTTAATTGTTGTAAAATAGATTGACTGGTATTATAAGTTTTTTATAATGATTAATTTGTTATGAAATTATTTTGTTATTTTATTAACATTTACGCAAATCGAAGAAACATTAATGATTCTCATTTAAACAATTTTAAAAATTTATTGTACAACAAAATTTTGAATAAATTGTAACAATAATAAAGAAAAATAACTTATCTTTTGAAAATGTCGATAAAGAAATTAATATTAATAACTGTTTTGCTATTTGTTTGCTTGGTGGTAGCACAAGTCAAACTTAGTTTCTTTACAAGAAAGCCCCAGGAGTCTGTAAAGCCATCTGTTTTATCGACTCGATAGGACTTATACATATACAATTTACGTATCACTGGCCTAATTTCCACCGAGGGTTTAATCCGGATTAGAATGTAAGAACCAACCAACTACAGTCGAGTATTCCCTTGTTACAGTCGAACGATAGGGGAATGCTCGACTGTAGTTGGTTGGTTCTTACATTCTGATCCGAATTAAACTCTCGGTGGAAACTAGGCCACTGACTTCATACTATTTCATACTACTACATCAATATTGTATTTATATACTCGTAGAAATTTTTGTAACGCATTTTCATATCGATTAGGATTGCGATCAAAGATCGGTATTCATAGTCAAAAATCAATATCCAATAAAAGCTTCTTCTCACGTGACGATGCAAAGCAGAGCTCTCATTGGATATTGTTCGTAGCTTATCGTTCATCGCGTCCAATATGTAGTAAGCATTAAGAGTTACTTCGATCAACTCCAATTAACTTTAATCGACGGTTAATCCATTGGAATTGACCAAGCGCATTTGTCAACGACAAATGAGAAAAAACAGAGCTTTTATTGGATAACGCTCGTCGCTCATCACTCATCGCGTCCATGCAGTAGTTAGAGGCCCCGCACAATAAAAGAAATAGGAAACAGAGAATAAGAATTTCAACCTATCAAAAATGTGAATTCCACAATACATGATTTCTGATAGGTTGAAATTCTTATTCTCTGTTTTCTGTTCCTTTTATTGTGCGGAGCTCCTAAATAGTGCAGGTTTAGTGCGATTCAATGGAACATATCGTTAGACCGTTTTATTGATATCCATTTTGACATTTGCGGTTCATTTGATGCTACAGATGCTTCGAAGCATTTTTTGATTGGTCGATTAGTAAAATTCTTTCTTCTGATTTGTCAATCAAAAGCTTGGAAGCAGTTGTAGCGTAAAATGGACTCCACTCTTTATAATACTCCTAAAGATATATATAACTGTGTTTAAACTTAAATTACTTATTTTACAATATTCTGATTCATTTATTTATTTAAAACATTTTTTTAAATTAAATTTTTATATTTCAAGAATTTTAAACGTCAAAATAGCCATGTCATTGCATAGCTATTATTAGAAACATTAAACAATGTCATTATTGTAACGTTAATTACAATAATGTATAATAATTACAATATTATATAACATAATACCAATAATTGAAATTTTCTCTGTTCTCTGCTCCTTGTTTATTGCACTAGTGTAGTTTTCATCTAAACCTAGCACGGCGCTAGTGCACCAGTTTTCCCAGTAGAAAACGCTATTAGAGAGACACCGTCCAATTGCACATACTGTGTTAATCCTTCCACCATAATTCAGACTAATATTCACTTGTTGCAAGATTTTCTGAATGTTTATCGACAAGCATCGATAAACCATTTAGAGAATCCCACTACTGAATAAGTACACGGGTTGCGTTCAGCAGAAAAAGCAGTTTTGCAATTATGTAAAATTCTTTAATACGATTAACCTTAGTTTCTCACTGGATCTAAGTGTATAAACCAATCATATTCACAAATTTTATAACAGTTGTAAAGTTGCTTTTTTTTTGCTGAACGCAGCCATTGTCTTCAACTTTAACGAGTAATATCTCAGAGTATCGATTATGTAACTTTTTCTGTAAAACGTGAAAATTTTTATGTATGTATATATGTATACACAGAAATACATATATTGGGTCATCTAAAAAGTATCCGCGGGATTTTGTCACTAGATATATGACCATCAACACACATCTAGTGACAAAAAACCGCAGATACTTTTTAGATGACCCAATACATACAAAAAAATTTTTATTTTTCAGGCATTTCCATCCTGGGGAAAAGATTACATGATCACTATCCAGTTCTCGGAGCAGAGTTTATTTCTGCCAAATTTTTTTCGTTCTATGCAAAAATACGTCAAATAAGCCTAATTTTACTGATTTTTGAGCTGTGTTAGCTAAACTACATAATTGCCAACTATGTATATCCTTTTATTTAATTTACCTAAACATGTCATATATTCACATATCTAGCAGTAGGGAATTTTCTTTGATATATATTTAATTCCACACTTTTTTACTTAATCATTAAGACTACGTTGTAACACAATAATGTTTAACGATACAAATGATCGGCATGAATATTACTAGCAATTTCGGATTCCCACTTATCTCCATTATTTAAAAGCTTTTCCTTGTTGTACAGCATTTCTTCATGAGTTTCGGTTGAAAATTCAAAGTTAGGACCCTGTGGAATAATTCACTTATTAATAATCCCATTCTTAAGATATATATATATGTATATATATTACTTTTTCCAATAACTCTGCCTCTTTATTAACAATAGTATCTACCTCAACAATGGCATCTACTGGACAAGCTTCCTGACAAAAGCCACAATAAATACATTTCGACATATCAATATCATATCTTGTAGTTCGTCGAGATCCATCTGCTCTTTCTTCTGCTTCAATTGTAATAGCTTGCGCAGGACATATTGCTTCACATAATTTACAAGCAATACACCTTTCTTCCCCAGAAGGATACCTAAAAAATCCTCAAAAATTCAATAAATTTAATATTTAAATATTTTGTATTTGGAAAATCTATTTAATTATGTTTTTCTTTTCTTCATCATATTGTAACATCAACACTAGACCACAAATGTCTTAAAAATTAGTTATCTTATTCTATAATAAGTTATAACATATATTTAATTAGTTATAAGTTATATTTTATTAATTATTATCACATATAAATCATATTAAATTGTCAAAATATTTTTATTTATATATATGTATATATATATATAAATATATATATAAATATTTACAATATATACTTTTGGTTTATATATCTATACGTACCTCCTTAATGCATGTTCTCCTCTAAATCTAGGACTCAAAGGTCCTTTTTCAAAAGGATAATTTATCGTTGCTGGTTCCCTTAATATCTGAGAGACAGCAAGTCCCATTCCTCGAATAATTTCAAGTAAAAACATATGTGTAGTCGCTGCTTCCATAATATCTGTCCAGGTTTTATCTTTTTCTTTGTTTACATAGAAATATTTACTTCGACTCAAACATATGTTTACACCATTAGAAACAATTTTAAGGAATCCTCCTGGTGCTAAAACATTTATAATTCTTAAAATTATAATTATTTCTTATTGAAGATATTAAGAAATCTCTTTATTACAAATTGAACGATTTTGATAATAAATTGGCAGTCTAATTATGTATATTAAAGAAATAAATAAGAAGACATAAAAAATTGTGCTTTGTTCAAGATCAGTTGATGTAGTAATTAAAATAAATTACATAGCATTACATTCAAATAGAGAGACACAAAGAATGCTTTAAGTTAAAGTCATTTATTATTCACTGAATGCCAAAAAAGATAGAGGTTTATGTTGATTTATATTACTAAAGAAAGCAAAATGAGAAAAGAAAAGAATGGAAGAACAATCAAGATCAGCTTCATCACAAAATTCATCTGAATATCATACCGATTTTTCCGGTTCGCGCGATTATCTGTAAAGGGCCCATCATGATCACTCAAATTTTTTAAAAGTTGAAAGGATTGACCATTCACGCTTCGTCAAGAAATTTTCTTAGAGAATATCCATCAGGACCTGCTAACAAAATCAGCTGAGGAACTGTGATAAATTGCGTACATACGTACGCATATATATATATATATATATATATATATATATATACTAGTGCGATAATCACAAGGTCTGATCTTTTTAGCTGAATTTCTTGCACGGTTCATTTTTCATCCTTTTCTCTCTTTCTATGTTGGAGAGAAAAAGAGAAAAGACAAAGTGCAAGAACTTTAGCTAAAAAGAACAGACCTACTTTCCATATTGGCTGCGATCGATTTGGACACTTACAATACTTCTATTCTTATTTTACATCTAATGAACGATAAAGATAGAATGATGATTACAAGCTTAAAGCGCGTGAGCATCCAAATCGATCATAGCATTGATAACATCGCAGCTAATACGATGGCAAGATTCTAATCCAGCTAGCAATCCAGTAAGAGAACAAGCATCGTGTGCCACAGACTTGGCCGGGTTCACACATTGACGGAAAAGCGGAAGCCAATCGGAACTCGCAGTAGTAGTAGGCAGTACATTTCGCTTGTCTGCTTCTGTCTTTTCGCGAGTTCTGATTGGCTTTCGCTTTTCCGCTTTCCGCTTTTCCGCTTTCCGTCAAGATGTGAACCCGGCCTTATAACGTTTTCGACCGAGTTTGCACTAACTTGAGTTGGAAAATGCTTCGCTATTGGTTAACGTTACACATCTACCAATAAGAGAGCACAAAACGTCATTACTTCAACTTAGGTACAAAACTCAGTCGGAACAAAAATGTCATTAATAAGGGTGAAACCACACAATGCGAAATAGGACTGCGAAATAAAGAATGCTCAATGTTCTTGTAATAAAGCGTCGTATTTTGAAAGGTTAAAATATTGATTTGATGCTGATTGATATGATAGAATTGAGTAATATCGAGACGAATGAAGCAAAATGAAATAAAATCTGAGTGGATAAATATAGATACCAAGATAAAAAAAAATAATGATGCGTTACGTGCGATTTCAGTCCTTTTCCGTATTTTTCCATTACGCCATTTTACGTGCTATGTTCACACGATGCGGAAAAATGATAGTAAATGCGTTAAAGCAGTTCAAAAAATTGTCATGAAATTGTAAATATTAATTGTAAAACATTAAATACTACAACAATGATAATTGTTTTTACAATTTGAAAAATTATATTTAATTTTAATAAGCAAATTATTGGGTCATCTAAAAAGTATCCGCGGTACTTTGTTTGTACTAGATATATGACCATCAACACACATCTAGTGACAAAAAATACGCGGATACTTTTTAGATGACCCAATATTAACATGAAATTAGTAGTTTTTAAATCATGTTGGATACATCTTTGACGCATCATGTGAATATATATTGGTCCGCTAAATTGAGGCAAAAGCAGAAGTTGCATACCTGTATGTTATCAGTGTATCAGTCATTTACACTGTTTCCAGTTAGAGTCCCTAGAATATCAGAGTCTCTGGTCATGTCCTCAAAATGTCGAATAAAAGTGGTGGGAATATGTTCTTGGTGCTTGCATTTTAAATTTTCATTAGAAGTTGAACGAGACATGAATGGAAATCGGGATTGATTACGTCCACCATGGATGATCCATGTGTCTAATTATGAAAAGCTATATATATATATATATACTATTGTATATGTATATACAAGATGTTATTATAAGAAAGTAAGTAAAATAAATTGAAATATATAGTTAATAATAAAAAATTATAAAATTGTTCATTATTACATGCTTTAAAAGAATAAAGCATATATATTGGGTCATCTAAAAAATATCGGTACTTTGTCTGTACTAGATATATGACCATCAACACACATCTAGTGACAAAAAACCGCGGATACTTTTTAGATGACCCAATACAATAAGCCATTAGGTTCACACCTTGATGGAAAAGCGGAAGCCAATCGAAACTCGCAGTAGAGTAGTAGGCGATATATTGGGTCATCTAAAAAGTATCCGCGGTTTTTTGTCACTAGATGTGTGTTGATGGTCATATATCTAGTAACAAAGTACCGCGGATACTTTTTAGATGACCCAATATTTTGCTTGCTGTCCGCGAGTTCTGATTGGCTTCCGCTTTCCATTTTTCCGTCAAGGTGTGAACCCGGCCTTAATCATAAATCAGAAATCAGAAGTTAAAAATTGATCAATCATAGTCGTCAATTTTTAGCTTCTCATAAAATGTAGCTTAGCTAGTCATAAATCAGAAGTTAGAAGTTGGAAATTGACGACTGTGATTGGTCAATTTCCAGCTTATTGTGCGTGTTATGGACCTTCTACAATAAGCCATTAGTCATAAATCAGAAGTCAGGGGATCGATTCTATATCTATATTTTGAAACAAGGTGAAAATTACATAAGTGAGCGAATTTACTAGAATACTAATAATTTCATTGGTCAACATCTAGTAAATTTGCTTATTTGTAATTTTCACCTTAGAGTCGATTCTGTATCTTTAAACAAGATGAAGATTACAAAAGCGAGCAAATTTACTAGGTGTTGACCGATGAAATAAACAATATTCTAATAAATTTGCTCACTTTTATAATTTTCACCTCGTTTCAAGATACAAAATCTCCAGAATCTACCCCCCCAGAGAATCTTGAAATGAGGTAAAAATTACAAAAATGAGCAAATTTAGTAGAATACTGATAATTTCATTGGTCACACCTAGTAAATTTGTTCACTTCTATAATTTTTATTTTATTGTATTTGAGAATACAGAATCGATCCCCAGAAGTTAAAAATTGATGATTGTGATTGGTCAATTTTTAGCTTCTGACTTCTGATTTTTGACTAATGGGTTATTGTATTGTAGAAGGCCCATAACACTATAGGCTGTCTAATTCATACGCGACGCAGACGCAATCGCCATGTTGCCAATCGCTAGTGTGAAGTGTATGATAAGGAAAATATAACTAGATGCTTATAAGCAGAGAGATTTGTAAGTATTTCGATAGATGACGCGGATTGACAAACACATGAACACATTCTTATGTTGAGATATAAGAGACCAAGCAAGAAGCAGCTGCGAGAAGTAACATTCATCTATTTCGAAGAAAAATTATCGCTGGAGAATTGTTTGCAAAATTTTTGACAGCAGCCTATGTTGATCAATGCTGATATTAATCTCATACTATAGTACACAAATTACTTATCTATATAACAACCTTGCAAACTTGCTGTGCATTATTTCAAAGAATTTAATGGGATGTCAGTTGGCCAATAACATATTCCTTATTTATGTTAATCTTATTTGTGTTGAAACGTGGTTAAAGCAGACGGTCGCTCAAATGCAGTGATATCTGATTTTTTTGTAAAGGTGCTTCTTTGTTACTTGAAGAAAATTTTCGAATTTTGACATGGAGTGAATCAACTTTATATGTTACAGTTGTAGAGATGACTGTAATGACACATCAGAACGATGTGCCATATTTAATATAAAGACAATTTGTTTGATATTAAGAAATCAAGAGATAACATCCAAACACACAAATAGTAAAACATAGTTTTACAAGAATGGATGTATCTAGCAATTAAACTCAAAGCATTGTACTAGTATCGAGTTTATGTTATAAGGTATTTTGCTTGATGTTTATCGGTGTATACTTGTCATTGTTAATGAAAACAACTCCAAATTGTCCAAAGAATTTGTTGCTAAAAAATTAAAAGAGAGCTACTGTATATATACATACATCCTTTATATTACCTTTGAGGCTTTCACAGATATTTTTGTCAGAGGTGCCAAAGGATTTGTGTATTATGATCCATTGCTAATGCTATTGTTGTATGAACCTTGCCATTTATTTCATCAAGAGCATATTGATATCGGTATCAGTGTACTCCTTGTCCTGATAAAGTGAACAGCGAGGTTTACAAAAGCATTGATAATGGATTGCGACATGGCAATAATTTTCATATCCTTAGTATTATTATACATTTGTAAAAATATTGTATGTAAACATTTGTATGTATAACATTTTCAACACATGTAGAGAATGATCTAAGAATCAATTTTTTTTTAATTTTTATATAACTTATATTTTCATACTATTTACCTTCTTGAACCAATTGTCATATAGCAATTAATTTATATTTTTCTCTGTGAATATTTCTCTGAGACTGTGGAAAAATAAAATTGTATATTTATTTGTTAGGTTTATTAAGACATTAATAGTCAACTTTAATCTGTGGATTAATACAAAGTTTCCAATGATGTTTTCGTCTGGCCTTAACTGTAATCTCTCCTTCCCCAGTTGTTTGGGTTATCCACAAGATAGTGAGGAATTGATCCCAAAAATGGCACGTGAGCCAATCATTCTTAATGTTTATGATATGGTAAGTTACTGCTTTCAGTGTATTGTAAATAAAATGAATATTATTATAAATGGCTTCGTCAAATGATAGTTTTTATAAATTTATTTATGATTAATCGGTTTTCTACAAGAGCCAAACTATTCTATTCATAAAAAGAATATATAATCAGACACTGTTTTTAGATACATTTGATTTAATTTATTATATGTCCTGTTGTATATAGTACTGGATAAATGAATATACTACACCTATTGGTCTTGGTGTATTTCATTCTGGAGTGGAAATATATGGAACAGGTATGTGTTTTATATTTAAGAAAAAACGATTATGTACAATTACTAAAAAACAAAAATTTGATAATATATTAGATATATTTCTGCTGTAGAATATGCATATGGTGGTCATGCTCAACCAAAAAGTGGCATTTTTGAAATTACTCCAAGAGTAGCTGACGAACTAGGCGAACAGTTTAGATACAGGTAAAGTTTTTATAAATCAAGCATATATATTCTCTCAAGTACTATGAAAAATCAATGTGATTCTTTTATTTTATAGACAGTCTGTTCACATTGGATATACAGATTTTACGGAAGAGGATGTTTCAAGAATTATTACAGAATTAGGCAAAGATTTTAGAGGAGACCGTTATCATCTGATGAATAAAAACTGTAATCACTTCAGCAGTCAGTTTACATTGGTACGGTGCTTTCTTTAATAATATCAATGAGCAAATTACGGAATTATTATGGAAAGTATAATGGAAAACTTAATACAATGTATTTTAGATTTTATGTGGACAAGAAATACCTGGTTGGGTAAATCGTCTGGCTTATTTTAGTTCATGTGTACCATTTCTCCAACGTTGTTTGCCAAAGGAATGGTTAACGCCTGATGCTTTACAACATTCTCTAAGTCAAATTAGTCATCACGAAAGTACACCACCATCGGATACTTCGTTGTAACATTTGGCTAACACTATTGAAATGCACGGTCTAAAATGCCGTAGAAGTTATACATTTTAGATAATTAAACATTGTGAAAAGAAATGTTAATTAGGACTGATTATATTGCCAAGATTTGAAAACTTGAGAAACCTGAGAAACTGAACCGTCAAGACAAGGTACAAATTTGATATTGTACACTTGAATGCGACTGCTGATAATTAGTACTGAAAAAAATTGCCTTTGCTGCAGCACGTTGTTTCCTAAGATGGCGATCCACATGGTCGCATGTGTTCTTTGTTAAATAATACAGTCAAGATATGATAGTTACATAATGAATAGATAATTACGCATAAAAATTTAAACCATAATGAGCAGAAAACTCATTTGCCGATAAAAAAGAAACTTGTTATATTAGCAAGATGTGTATATTGAAATAATTTTTTTATAAAAATTCTTATTTCTTATGCTTGTAAAACCATAAAGCAGTATGTTTTAAGATAATATAATGCATGCACATAAATCAGATAAATATATATTATATATAAGATATATTGTATGCAAATGATTTAAATATTTTATGATCTAATTATTAATTTCTATAATTAACTTAAACACGTACACGCACATACTCGTACTTACACAGAGATACGTAAATAAACTTCCGCGTAAGTCTTAATATAGTTAACACTATATATTATTTTTAATCAGCAGAACTTTTCCATATATAAATTTGATTTTATCTCTTGCACCTTCTGTTATGAGCTTTCTACAATAAGCCAATATTTAAGCCATAGCCCGCAAACACAATAGATTAAACCGTAAGAAATTGATCGTTCACAATTGAGTGTGAAAAGAATAATCCATTATAATTGGTCAATTTCTTAAGGCTTAAGACTTATTATACTTACTGTGTTTGTGATTATTACACTTACATGTGCTTAGGATTTAAAGCTTAGATAATAGCTTATCGTAGAGAGCTCATTATATTATCTCTTGATTTATTACTTTAGGGATCGATTGTACACGCGTGACATTTCTATATTCTACATATATGCATTAAATCATTAAATAAATAAAAATTGAAAAATATATTAAAAATAGAGAAACTGCTCTTTTTCGATAGATTAAAAATATAATAAACTCGAATATAATTAATTTATGAGATACATGAACAAATATCTTTAATGAAATTCTAAATAATAAATGTATATTTTTTGTCGAATAAACAATCTTTCTGATTTTAATTTATACAAAATATGTCGAAAATAAATTAACTAACGAATAATGAGAAAGAGGAAATTTTTTTATTAATTTGAAAAAATGGACTTATTAATAAAAGTAATAAAATATCAAGTTTTGAAAAATCACAAATAGATAATAAATTAAATTTTAATTATCAGTTGATATCTTGTTTTAATAGAATTTTAATTTGAAAAATTTAATTAAAAGATATGTAATATTGATTGTAAAAATATGATGAATTGTATTCTTTGTATATATATATATATTAAAGAAATAGCTATTCCAATTTTTTTCTATAAAATTGGATTTAGATGTCGTACAAATTTAAGTTATTTATTTTATAAATTTTCTAAACAAGGCATCTCTTTAAATGAGCATATCTAAATATCAATAATTTAACATGTAATTTTGATAAATTTAAGATTTCTGGTCCAATTCTATCGAATTGTGGCATACATTCAAAGCAAAAAATTACATGTCGAATTACAATTCAATCTCCATTTATAATTTAATGCAGAGATTATAGTGATAGATGAAGAAGTGATAGATTTAATAATATTTTGCGATGCAGATGGATAGCTTTTCGTATATCTTATGTAATGAAAATATCTCTTCTCTTGTGAAAGTATACCTTTATTTAATTTCTTACATACATACATACATACATATTTATATTTATGATTAGAATATAATTAGAATTAGTAATTAAAAAAATGACTTCTTTTTTTCTTGGAGTTTGTAGTATAGTTTTCATTGTATAATGTAAACATATATTTGTAATAATTAAGTAAAAATAAGTATTTGTAATGCATTTAATAGGAAAGGTGCCTAAAGTCTGGATACACTCAAAAAATATCTCATAAACGATGCATTTTAGAAAAAAATATTTCTTACTCTCTTTAAAAGTTGTAAGGCTTAAAAAGACGCATTCAACGATAGTAGTTATTAACAAATGTTATTCAGGACATGATCCTGAACAATATTCCAGAGGTTTTAGCCGTCGGACATCTTGGGTAACGCTAATGCCGACGGTACTGTAATTTTCAAGCCTGATAACTCACAAAGTACTTAATGAAAATGAATTTAATTATAGTGTTTTGAAAAGTTCTTAAGATAAGTTACAAGAATATGTAATGAAAAAGAAGGAGTTCCATTTAAAAAATTCATGTTGACCTTGACCTGACCTTGACAATGCCATCCTGAGTTAAATAACTACTATTATTGAATGTGTTTTTTTAAGTCTTAGAACTTTTGTAAGAAATACTTTATTCTAAAATCGTTTATGAGATATTTGGGTGTATCCAGACTTGACCTACCCTGTATAAAGATGGCAGAATCAAATCGGAGCAACACCTATGCATTATTTGAATAAATATTCTCTTTATTCTTACTTGAAATAATCTCAGAATATAGAAATTTTTATTCGCTTAATAAGCGTTAAAAGTAGCACTGATTTATGATTTCACTTAACAAGACTTAGATAGTGATTTAAAATTGGGATATGCAAGATATGCACCTTTAAAAACATGTACAATCTACATATCATTTAATCATTTATGATTTAAATCAATATTAATTCAATGTTAAACATATTCTTATTTTAATCTTATCACATAGTAATGTTTAACAAAACAATAATTTTATATCAGTTAACAAATTTCATGCAAATTTAAAAAATGTGTATACACACACACACACACACACACACACATACACACACAAATTTTTCTAGCAATTTTCTTCGTTTATCATTTCAAATTATATAGAAGAGAAATTAGGATTTCTCTCCACTTAATTTACATTCGTTAATTAAATTCATTTTATGGATACTTTAGCTAGCTTAAAAGTTTTCTATTAATTCTAATATACGATCGTATAAAAGAGTTTTTCCATTAATTGCCCATATATAATCTGCATGGTTAAAGAATTCATATGGGACTTTTTCGATTAAAAAAACATTTGGTAAGCGTTTGTCAAGTTCAAACACATTCTGAAAATCAAAAATGTAATGAAAGAACAGTATTAATAACGACATAATTTATATTAAGAACAGAAAATAAATTATCTATATAAATCTACTGTTTTCCTTTTTACTTATGTTCCTTTTATTTTGCATTCATTAGATTTTTTATATTGTTAACAATTACGTGATGACCACTTCGTTATATTCATATAAAAAATTTTACCATTTTATAACTAATCTGTGCTTCGCGGGTTTTCTCCATGTCTTGGTCCATTCTTGATGTGCCAACGTTTCGTGGGCCTTGCAGTCCTCTTCATCAGGGCGAGGAGCAGCTGATACTGAGCTGTTCCTCCAGGTCCTTCCTTTTTATGTTACGCTACTTGTCGAGATGGGAGTTTTTTGGTGGTGGAGGGGGGGGGGGGG